CACAGAATTCCCTTTAGGATGTTTTATACCGCAGTGTTGGCTTTGGCAAAATCCCTTAGCTTCTGTTTATCCTGGAATGTTTTGATTACACCATCGTATTTGATTGATAGCTTTGCTGGATAAAGCATTATTGGTTGACAGTTTTTTTCTTTCAGGGTTTTATAGATGTCTCCTCATTGCCTTCTTGCTTGCATGGTTTCTGTTGAGAGATCTGAGCTTAATCTGACTTGTTTGCCTTTGTATGAAACGTTTCTCTTTTTCCTAGCTGCTTTCAGGATTCTGTCCATATATTTGATTTTGGAGAGCTTGATTATGATATGTCTCTGTGATTTTCCTTTGGGATCTATCCTTCCTGTGGTTCGTTGAGCTTCTTGAATGTTTATCTTTTCACTTTTCACGATGTTAGAGAAATTTTCTTCCAGCAGTTCTTCAACAAGTTGCTCTGTGGACTTGTGTGATTTTTCCTGTTCTGGAATGCCGATAATTCTTAAGTTATTCCTCTTCATGTTTTCCAACATGAATCTTAGACCTTCTTCAGATTTTTAAATCCTTTTTTCTGTTTGCACTTCTATCTTAGTGGTATTGAGAGAGTTGTCTTCCAGTTCACTAATTCTGCCTTCCATCTCTTCTAATCTACTCCTTTGCCCTTTCAGTTTATTGTCTATTTCTGATATTCTATTATTGATTGTTTGGACCTCTTTCTGTAGGTTTTGAATTTTGTCTAATGCTGTATCTTATTTGATTGTTCCTGTAGTGTTTTCCTGACTTCTTCCTTATTTTTCTCAACTCCATTATAAAGTGTTTTGAAACATTTTATAATCATTTTTTCTGAATTCCTTCTCAGGCATTTCCAAGGCCTATCCTCCTTCCAGAATGTAGTCCAGGTCTACCTCTAGGTTTTGTCTCAGACCTTTTATCTTGTTTCTGGACATGTGCTGATATGGTCATCTGCTTTTGCTTTTTGGACATGTTTAGTGTTTATCTGTGGCCTTAATATTTAATTAATGTGTGTTTTGGGTTTTTTTATGCTTTCTGATTGCCTCCAGGTAGATGTGATCATGATGTAGGCTTCCCTTTTCAATCTTCTTATTGCTTGACTCAGAGAACTTTCACAGGTGTTGTCTGCCTCCCTGGTGTATGGCAGCTGGTATTGGTTCTTGCCTGGATTTTGGTGTTTTATAGAGTATGATTGTAGCTTGACTATATGGCAGCAGTTGCTGTCTCTTCTTGGGTAATATAGGGAGAGAAAGAGTCCCCTCAAGGTAAAAGGAGGAGCACAAAACAGCAACAGCAAAAAAAAAAAAAAAAAAAAAAAAAAAAAGGGAAAAAAAAAAAACCCCACCAAAAACCAAAACAACAACGAAAAACCAAAACTAGATTGAATACTGTAGTCTGTAATGGCAGAAAAGGGAGAGGAGGGAGAGAAGAAGAAAAAAAAAATCTGTAGCCTAATATGAGTATGACTTTGATGTCCTCTTTCAACTACTTGCCTTCAAAGCCACCTGATAAATTTCACGATGCCACTGTTGGTTGTTATGGTATACCTCAGGATTTAATTTAATTTTCAGCCTGTTTTGTTTTTAAACTCTCTTTCCCTGGCCACACCCCTTGTTCTGGCCTTTTTGCTATTAAAAAGCAGTTCAGGGCCGGCTCTTGGGCTGAGAGTATCTGTGCGCATGAGTGGCAGAAGAATCCACCAGTGGTGAGGGTAGGGAGTGTCCATTCATTCAGGCTCCCCCTCTAGTCACCAGAATGAAGGTGCATAAACAGTGGGGGTGCCAATGAACAGATACCAAAAAGAAAAAAAAATCAGAACAAAGCAAAATCGACACAGTGTATTGTCCTTTTGCTTTGAAGTTCCCTGGAGTTATTCCGTGGTGGGTCTGTCACCCCGATTTTGCCATTTGGTCTCACCCAAGTTGTTGGCTCCAGGCCGCTGAGCCTGGCAGATTAAAAAAATATGTGATTTCTTGCTCCTGCTACAAGTTCTACTCACTATAAGCCTTCAAACTTTTTAAATATTCCTAGATATGTGATTCAGAGTTTTGGAGCTCTGCCTTGAACCCTTTTCACTTGGTATTCTGTGGTATTGCTGACAACTAACTTCACTGCATCTCTACCCTATCCGCCATCAAGCCCTACCACTATACCTACTATTTTTTAACCTGATTTTTTTTTTCTTTTGCTCAACAATGTATCCAGGAGATTGTTTCATATCAGTACACAAAGAGCCTTATCATTCCATTTTGTTGTTGTTGTCACGTGTTGTTGAGTTGGTTCTGACCCATAACGACCCTTTACAGGGTTTCCGAGGAGTGGCTAGAGAGCTTGAACAGCTGACCTTGCGGTTCAAACCAGCCTTGCAGTCCAGCGCATTAACCCAAAGTGCCACATGAGGACTCCCATTCCAATATTAATCAGCCACCATTCCATTTTATGGCTGATTAATATTTCATTGTATGGTTGTGTCATAATTCAAGTAACCAGTCTCTTTACTGATGGTTACATAAGTTTGTATCCATGAAACTTATGAAATGTATAGAGTCCAGCATAGCTGAATTTTGAAGCCTTCTCCATGTTGGTACACAATTCATTACCAGAAGTATGCCTTAGTTTTAATCTTGGGATCACCAAGTCTCAGAGTGGAGAAACAGACACCCACAAGTCTTCTTCTATAGTCTGGTGGGCTAATCTCTGATCACATATTAGACTTTCTTGCTTTCACTATGCCTTCATCAGCATCTCATCACGGTCTTAACAGCGACTGTTTCCACCCCTTTCCCCAACTATTTCCACCACTGCCTATAACATTGTGCCATGGTTAAAGTGTCCAGACGAGGACACTTTGGAGAGTAAAAGCGGGCAGTAATATTAACACTGAAACAATAGGTATAAGCCACAACTGCCAGGTTTGCAGCTGAGAAGTTCAGCTGCTAGACCTGGTGACTTCTTTGAAGGCAAGGATCATACCTTAATTATCTGAGTGTCCCTGGCATCTTTGCAGAGTCTGGTGAGTGATAGATGCTTAATGCACATTAGTTGGTTAAACAGATGATCCAGATAAAGGGAGTGCCCAAGCTGTCTTGGCCAGGGCTCCCCAAGACACTGAAAGGGAACATTGCTGACAGCCCAGAGTTTCACTTTTCACTCTAGCCACTATTGACAATATCTGAGACCCCCTTCTATAGTGCCTGCTTTGACCTTTGAATTCAGTGCTGGTGATCATTTCTACAATGCCTGCTGAGTCCACAGTGGGTGTCTAGCAGATGCACTGGCCTGCCTTGTGCCCTGGCTTTCCTTTTCCTGTCCTTTTCATGTCCAGTGTGAGTCCCTGTTGGTCAGTGTTAGGGCTAGTGACCAGTCTGTGTCCTTGGGCTTAGTAACTAGTGAGTCCTTCAACTTGGCCTCCGTGGACCCTCTTTCTCTAGTAGGCTCCTGTTGCCCAAACTCCTTCCCCCTGACCTTTGGATTGATGAAGACTTTTGGGATTTCCTCTCAGTGAGGCCCTTAAAAAACCAGGGAGACCTCAGGACTGCCTGCCTGGCTGGGTGCTACTCCTGAACACTTGTTTCCCGATTTTCAAGGTCCCTGTAAAAAGATGCTAAATAAGTAGAAGGGAAGTTTATCTAGGCTGGGGCTCAGCTGCATAATTGGTCTGTTTAAAGCCTCCTACCTTCGTAATTACTGTTATGATGGATACACTCACTAGGCTGGGCAGCCCCACTTCCCTATCCAGGGAGCTGGGGAGGTGAGGCGTGAATACAAATCCCCTGGGTTCCAAGAGGGAGTCCTCTGCCTCTGTCCTTATTCTGGAAACCCATAGATATGGGGTTTCAGAACAGGAAATAGTCCACTCACCTCTCTGTGGGCATGACCCCCAGTGAAATAGCCTGGATCTCAGTCACCCCATCTGTCAAATGAAGGGGTTAGATAGATGATTTCTGAGTTAATCTGTGCCATCCCACATCTCCACCAGGCTGCTCAGTCAAGGGGTATGTGTGGAGGGACCATGAAGAGAACCCTTCTCCTGTTTTTTTTTTTTTTTTTTGCATCCTACATGGGATCCAAGAATCTGGACCACACCTTTCCCCCTCAAGCTGCCCCAGGAGATAAGAAGCCAGGAACTAGTAGAGACAGGGACCATACTTCCTCAGATGAGCACCTATGCCTTATCTGAAGTATATTCCCATTGCCTCTTCTATCTCCTCCATGTCTCCTCACACCTGTGGGAATGAGTGGAGGTGGAGTTGGATGAAACATTCACAGAGAAGAAGTCTGACTCTTATGTTTTTCAGGTATTTTATTAAGAATAAGGCATATGAAGTCACCCCTAAAGCACAAGGCTCTATTTCTGTGGGTGAGTGAATACACTCTTAAAAGCATTGGATTAAAAAGCGCAGCCAAGAAAGAATTTGGAGCAGGATCCCTCTGCCCTGCCCATTAGGCTTCTGCTGAGTGGTCTTGAAGCTGTGTGTCCTCCACTCAGGATCCCTCTGCCCTGCCCACTGGGCTTCTACTGAGTGGTCTCAAAGTTCTGTGTCCCCCCACTCAAGACTGGCACCTTGGGAAGAGTGAGTGCTGAGAGATCTCTGAGGCCCTCTGCACCAAGGAAATGCTGTGTCATACCCCCTCTCCCAGGGTGGACTCTGTCCATCTGCTTGTTTAGGGAAGAGCTTCCCCATTTTGGCCTCAGACTGGTCCCCGTCACTGTTGGTGAGATATTGGGGACACATTACATTGACAACTCATCTCTGGGTAGGCTTGCAGAACCAGGAGACTTCCTTACAACCTGCGGGTCTCCTTCCTGGGGCTTCATGAGCAGGTATGAGAAGGGGAGAGAAGTCATCCTTTCCCTTTTTCTTGTGGTCAGGTACCACAAATCGCTCAGTGTAGGGTTTCAGAGGCGGGAGCAGAAAGTCTTTTCTCCCAAGGAGTGGGCCGATCTTGTGGATACCAGTTCAGTGCTTATCCTACTGAGCTAATGTGCCCCTTCTTCTTAGTTACCCAGATATTCCAGGAGCTGGGATGGGGGTCTCTTTCTTTCGGCCAGGTGGGTCCCCCAGGCCTAGGCCAGGCTGTAGGAGGGTGAGGACCGGAAGCAGAAAGCAGGGCCTCTCTCAGGCCCTGAGGCTGAGTAGTTTTGGGTGGTGGAGTCCAAGGACAGATCTGATTCCACCTCCCAATCCCATTCCACTACACTGACCCTGTTCCAAACCTGGGGGCAGGTGGAGTCAGGAAGTCTCTATTCCGTGATTTCCAGGAGAGGAGTTTCCGGTAAAATTAGAACCCTGTATCTGCCTGGGCTGGGGAGGTTTGCATGATTTCCTTACTCAGGAATCCCCAACTCAACTGAGTCAGGGAGTCAGCCACCCCAGCATTCAGCACCTTTCATCTGGGGAATCTCCAAGCACCCCACGAACAATTAAGTGTCATTATCTTTGATTGTTGGAAGAGTGACAGGAACAGGGAGGTGCTGATTGGGGTCACCTGGGAAGAGGCAGGCCACCAGAGGGTCTTGAGGCCAGGAATGTGATAGGAGCTCCCAGCCAGACACCCTGGGTACCCAGGAGGGAAAGGGGAAGAGGACTATTGCTATAGCGCTCGGGGGAGGCCAGGAGGGCTTAGCTATGGCTTTTAGTGGGCGGGTAGGTGGGTAAAATCATTATCACTGCAGAAGAAATGACCTAACCAAGTCACCATATTTACCCCAAAAGTGTGATCATGGGAGGTGAGGGTCTGTGCAGAAAGAGACCCTTTTTCTCCCTCCCCACTGTCCCTTGGGTCCCTTTGTGTGATTGTGGCCAAAAGCGGAGAAAGACTTCCTCACAAATTGTGAAAGTGCGGCAGGGACAACAGGACTGGGTGGGAAAGGAGTCACAGCCACTTGAGGGGAGATGAATAGCAGAGGCTCAACCACAGAGACCTGGTTGGGGGTGGGAGAGGCAGAGCAAGGACCCCAGGCCACTACTGTGGCCTGAGTTGGCATGGAGAGCACTGTTTGTCCCAAGGAGTCCCCCCACCTTGACCACTTGAATCCCAGTAGCTGGACACTCTGAGACCAGCCCTGGTTATTGCTCAGTGGACAGCAGTCCTGCAGGAGACCAGCTGGGTGAGAGCTGCTTGCTAACTGGCCTGGGAGTGTGCACACTTATTTCTGGTCCTTGTCAATTTCTTGCTCCTTCCAACCTATAGAGTGAAGACAATGTGATTGGAGATTTCCCCCCTTTTTCATGGCATCCATGATGGGGAGTAGAAATCTAGAGATTGACTCTTTACCTCCTCTATACCTGGGTGACACATGGAATGCCTAGCCTCAGCTAGAGTCAGGACCTGCCAGGGATAGATGTAAAGGCCTCTCCCTGTCCCACACACTCCCCTGGCTGTCCCTGGAAGACATCACAGGCACTTAGGACTAACAGAAAGATGGCACAGGAGCTGCAGTAGTTTGTCATTCTATGTTGGGCCAGAGCTACACTTTCTGCCTTTGATAGTGAGAGGGAAGCAGGAGAGATAGGGAGTTCAGAGGTTGGGGGATTTCTCCCCACTCCCCAGTCTAAACAGAAGGACAACAAGGAGCCCACCACTGCCACTGTTGGGTTCTGATAGGCCTGGGACATCCCCAGAGTAGGGGACAAGTGTGTGTGTGGGTAACCTGTGGCCTGTCACATCCTCAGCAAACCCAAACATCTATCAATAACTGCCACTTCCAAGAAACTAGGCCCTCATCCTTCTTACCTCTGGGTGTAGCTAAGGGGCAAAATTAGCATCAATAACCAGGGTTAGAAATGTTTTGAGGCAGCCTCAGACTCTTAGCTACCTGCTGAAGTGGGGAAGGTAACTCCAATCCTTCCACTAGCTCTATAAGAAAGCTCACTCCTGTTCCACCTCACTTTCCCCAGTAATGCTTAGTTTTCTGCATTCCTTCCTGTCGTGGGGAGAACTGAGCTGGAGACAGAGTTCTAGCATAGGCTCTGCCTCCAAGCCCTAAAGGTCTATGGATACTACCTTCTAGAAGTTCTAACTTCAATTGGCTGTGCCTTCCCCAACAGAGACTGGGAAGGACAAGTCTTTTAAAGTGTTCCGTGCTCATCTGCAAAGACCTGGGGGAGGCAGCTTCCTAGTTAAGGGTCCAGCCCCTGGCCCCGCCAACAAGCCAGTCAGCCAGCGGCTCCGCAGAGGATGAAGATTTGGCGGGAAGGCAGCCCTTTGGAGCTGGGGGAGACATGGGGTGGGGTGGGGTGTGGCCAGGGTGTGGAACTAGAAGGCCTAGGAGGGCGAAGGGCTACTCAACTTTCCTTTCCGTAGACCAGACCAACCTTCCCCTCGCCCCAGACGATTGTCAGCTTTCTAGGGCAGAGCTTCAGCCCCACCCGTCCCCTCCCAGTGATGGATGGGGACCAGATTAGGTGCCCTCTCAACAAAAAAAAAAAGGTGCTCAGCCCCGCGTGCGGAGTTGTTCCCTCGCAAGGAAGGGAGGACTGGAAGCTTTTGGAAACGTTGGGCTATACAAAAGACTGGGGAGAGAAGGGAGTGTTGGAGAAGGGGTGTCTTGGGGTGCGTGGGGTTGGACCCACCTCCGCCCACTTCTCGGAGGAGAGGCCGGCGACCCTCAGCCCTGGGAACTGCCTGCGGGACCGCGGCTGCAGCCGGGGTCCGGGTGGGCTTCCCCCCATCCCCACCCCTCCGGCTCCGTGCCTACTCGGGTTCCATGGGCGCACGGGGCGGGCTGGGCGGGGCGGGCTGGCTCTGGCAAGGCCGGGGTTGTGGGCTGGCGAGGTCCGGGGG